CATCCTATCTCAAAATTTTTTATGGTCTTCTTTAAAAAATAAAATCATAGCATCCACACTTCATCTTTTCCCCAAATACATATGCGCGTACAGACGAAACAAAAACATACTAGATCCAATATTAACCTTGAAAATGATTATGCAGAAATATTGTAAATACAAAATACCCTTATTTCACATTCGTGGATTTCGTTGAGTTTTTGATGTTAATAATGAAGCTCTATGAGAAAATCTGTCAGAGTGTGGCCTGTAGAGCACATTTCTAGTATAACTATGGCCGTATTAAGTGCCAGGCGTTCCTGTCTATCATATAAAAATTATGAAAAACAATTGTTATTAAAATTTAATAAGAAAAATTTTTTTTAAATAAAATTATATTTTTATTCGCTATATTATATTGTATTTATAATTATATTATTTTTTAACATTGATAATATATTGTGTTAAATATAAGACATTTATTTATCATTAAATTTAAAAAAAATTTTATCATAAAATTTTGAACGAAGGTGAACCGATTTTTTTAGAAATGTTTTACAGCACTATAAATATACAATATGCTTCTTAATAATATTTTTTGAGGTCCGTGAAGTTGCCCACAATTTTTGATTTTCAATGGTTTATCAGTTGGTATGATTTGTACCCGATTCGTACTGATTTGTACCGTTTTCAGTTCGATTTTTACCATCACCGTTTTTGAGATATTCAAAGAACAAAATGGGGGGCCAACTTCACGACAGCCCCCCCCCCTCCAACTTTTGAATTTAAAAATAAAAAGTGCATAGGTCGATAAAGAATGATTTGTATCGTTTTCAGTTCGATTTGTACCATCACCGTTTTCCAGCTATTGACCGTTAAAAATATGGCGCCAAAAATAAAAAACACTCAAAATTTATTTTTTAAAAATTTTTTAACGTACAACGGTAGAGAATTTTTTTCTCTTCCTAATGATGCCTCAAAATAAGCTTTATCTTCATTATTTATTTCGGAAATCAAATTTTAAACCTTATATTATAGCGTGAAGTTAGCCCCCCCCCCCCCCGATATTCAAAATTTGAGATTTTTCAAATTTTTAAAACGGGATTGATTTGTACCGTTTCAATCTCGATTTGTACTATTACCGTTTTCCAGCTATTGACCGTTAAAGATATGGCGCCCTACTGTTGTACGTTAAAAAAAATTTTTTAAAATAAATTTTGAGTGTTTTTTATTTTTGGCCCCATATCTTTAACGGTCAATAGCTGGAAAACGGTAGTACAAATCGAGTTTGAAACGGTACAAATCAATCCCGTTTTAAAAATCTCAAATTTTGAATAACGGGGGGGGGGGCTAACTTCACACTATAATATAAGGTTTAAAATTTGATTTCCGAAATAAATAATGAAAAGCTTAATTTGAGGCATCATTAGGAAGAGAAAAAATTCTCTATCGTTGTACGTTAAAAAATTTTTTAAAAAAATAAATTTTGAGTGTTTTTTATTTTTGGCGCCATATTTTTAACGGTCAATAGCTGGAAAATGTGATGGTACAAATCGAACTGAAAACGGTACAAATCATTCTTTATCGACCTATGCACTTTTTAATTTTAAATTCAAAAGTTGGGGGGCTGTCGTGAAGTTGGCACCCCATTTTGTTCTTTGAATATCTCAAAAACGGTGATGGTACAAATCGAACTGAAAACGGTACAAATCATACCAACTGATAAACCATTGAAAATCAAAAATTGTGGGACCAACTTCACGGACCTTATTTTTTGTGCAATTTTATTTTTTAATGTGTTATAATAAAAAAAGTTATTATTCCTAATAAATTTGTGCTCGATATCAATAATTTTATCTTTAAAAAAATTAATTACCCCCCCCCCCCCCCCCCCCCAGCTACGGACGATCCTGAATAAATATCATGGAAAGCATTATTTAAATCTTTTGGTAAAGCTATTTTTGAAAAAATAGGGTTTTGTCTATTCGTACTCTCATTCCACGTAATTTAAAAAATCAACTTCTCCTATCTCCTTTCTATAAAAAGTTTTTTTTTTATTTTAGCAAATACGATGGCAAAGTATAAATGTAGATTATAACGTTGATATGAATTACGGTTAGTATGACGCCAGTAATAAAAAAAATTAGGAAAGGGTAAATTTTTTGTAAGAATATAAAGCGTGAATGAATTTTTTCCCAATTTCTTAAGTTTCTATTGCTTTTATTAAAAATATAGCTTTTTAAAATAATTATGTATGTATATTAGCGTCAATGTGTTTATCCTGTGTTATTTTTTTCAACTTTATTTTAAAGTGCTTTTTTTAATTTTAAAATTTGATTTTACGAAATGTATTTTATCATGCTTAGAATATTTAACCTATGAGCTTCAGACAATTTTTCCATGAACATTTGAACGTAATATTATTTATATTAGTTTTTCCATAGATTTTTTATTAAATTATAAATGGCTCAAATGTTAATGGCAAAATTATCTACAACTCATAAGATAGGTATTCAAAGCATGTTGAAATACTTTTCTTGTAAAATCGGATCATCAAATTTTTAAAAAACGGTCAAGAAATTATTCATATAAATTTTATTAACAGCTATGGGTTTGGGTTGAAGTTCTGATTTAGACTTTTTTTATATTTTATAAAATTTCCCTTTCCAAGCATTACTATTTTTTCAGTCATTATAAGAAGTGATAGATTTTATGATTTGATTGTAACAGATAGTATATACCGCATATCATTTACTAACTAGAAACAGATAATACACAACAATTACATATCTCAATAAATAATAAAATTGGGCATTATTTTTTTTTCTACCTTACATAGTTGCCATATTTAATAGTTTCTATATTTGTAATTAAGTAAACTAGAATATTTGCACCCCATATCATTTACCTACTAGAAACAGATATTACACAACATTTACATATCACTATAAAAATAATATTGGACATTTGCATTTAAATAATGAATATTTTTTTTCTACCTAATATAATTACCATATTTAGTCTTTCTATATTTGCAATTAAGTAAAATTTAATGATTCAATTTTATATTGAGATTGTTTTATAGATTAAAAATAGGTCGGCCGAGCACCGCCCAATTTAGTTTATATATTGTAGCTCACAGTTGGACTTTATGTTGTAGTTTAAAGGTGTAGTGTGATCGTCGAAAATCGCTTCCAAGACGGAACCATTATAAAATGAATTTAAATAATAAGAAAGATTTTTTTAAAAAATCAGGAAGTGAAAAATATGATCCGACAGAATTATGGTTGATTAGACTCAATCAGATATTTTATCGGATCTATTTTAAATTTCATTTGCCACTGGTCCTGATTGAGATATTAGAAAAAAAATTACGAGATAAGTCGGACATATTTTTCTTCTTGGATAGGGGAAAAAATAGATAAACATCATTTAATTTATGAAAATCATTAAAATAAAGAATATTTTGAGGGGAGGGTACAATAGACTAAGGTATAGATCTAAATAATATTTTTGTCATAGGGGCAGAAAAATTGATTTTGCAGGTCATTAATCTGTCCCTTTGCATGGCCATAATCACTAAATAGGTTAAATCTCCAACTTAATTATTTTTACCATTTAAGATCTGTTTATGAAAAAAGCAGTCTGGCTTATCTATTTTGTTGATATAATTATATTAAAGATTGGTAAAATTAATTTTTTAAGCCAAAGCTTAATGGGGAAAAAATAGGTCGTATAATTACAAACTCAAATTATTTATTTTAACCTCATTCTTCATTATTTTGGGGGATTCCGCTTCCCAGTTTTTTTAAATTTTATTAGACAAGAAAATATCAATAAGGACTAAGGAAAAAAATGATCCATTTTTTTAAACAAAAAAATAAAATGGAGATTTTAAGAGGTAATTACAACTACTTCTATATCCCTCAGTTTCTCCCTCACAATGTTATTTTTCTTTAAAAAAAATTTTTAGACCTATCACCACAATTATTTTATGATTTCTCCATTTTTTAAATATTTATATAGGTTTCTTCTTTCATAATATATATTTTTTGAAATTTATATTAAAATTTTTATACAATTGGATATTTAGTTTTATCTATCATTTAATTCCTTTTCCATTATATAGATGATGCAATCTCATAAGCGCAGCAATATATTATACATGTATTTTTTATTATTAACATTAAATTAATACAATTTTTAAATTCACTTTTTCCCCTTAAACACCATATTAAATATATGACATTTCCTATTTTAATGTTTATGCACTAAATTTAAGATTTATCTATTTATTAATAATTGAATATTTCCCATTTCCTGATTTTTTTTAGCCTCTCTTATTTTTTTTAAAATTGACTTTATATTTGTAATATTTTATTCAAACCACAAAAAAATAAACAGGAAGGAGTTATAACACTCCTCATATTTTTTCTGGCCATAGATGTAGCCTATATTTTATTGAGGATATTAAGGCCCACTTGGCTGGGTCTATCCTGCCTAACTCTAATTTATATATCCTTTTAAAATACCTAAATATTTTAGCTTAATTACTTCTAGAAATATTTTTATTTAAAAATTCAATAAATATTTTGAACTATGGACACCAATACATCAACCTCTTGGGATTGAAGGTTAAAATTTTGTATTTTACTAGTTACCCCATAGGTATACTTATTAATACCCAAATTTTCAGAGAGGCTGAAAATCATGGTTTTCTTTGATTTTCCACGCAGAATTTACCATAAAATGTCATAGTAGTTTAGCAAATCTTCAAATAAATTTTAGGAATTAAAATCTTTACTTATAAATAAAATGTTTGATTTAGGGCGATAACTATGTGGTATGGAATTTTGGGTGAGCCTAGCTGATAGCCTATTAAAGACTGAAGTACTTAACAAGACTATAATTTATCATTTATATTTATAAAATTTGATCAATATATACATCTTATTATAAATGATATATTGAAGGTTATAATTTATTAGAGGAATAAAAAGTTTATATATATAAATATTTTTAAAAAAATCCTTGTTTGAACAATAAAATAATAAATATTATATCATTTTCTTAAAAATGGTCTAAGTGTTAATTTGCCGTAAGTTATATATCAAAAAAATTGCATAAATAAACAGTTAGAATAATTTTATAATTTAAAATAAAATGATAAAAAAATGATTATATAGCACAAATTGGAAGAATAAATTTCGAGATTGCATCTTCATAATATAAAAAAATTCATAAAATTTAAATATAAACATATCAAAAAAATTAAATAAATTTCTTATAAAAAAAATATATTTTTTTAATATAGATAAAATTAAAAAAGTATCTTGGTAAAAAATATTGATTTGGTTGTTTCTTTATAATGAGAATTTTTCAACTAGTTTTAAAAAGCTATAAGAATCGATAGTTTGATAAGTGATTTAATAGGCGTAGAGACCTGTAAAGCCTTCAAATTTCTTCAGCTTAACGACCAAACACGTGGAAAATACGAGTCCCAAAATCTATTTATTTTATTTAAATTATAAGGGTCAAATTTTAATTTAATATTTAAACATTTTAATCCATTTTTTAAAAATTTTTGCAAAAACAAATTTGACATTAGAAGTGGAGCGGCAGCTATTTATATATGCTTGATTTCATCCAAAAAAACCCGACGCCTAATATAATATCCATTTCTGCAAAAAAGGACTAAAATTTTTTTTCTCAAGTTTGATCTCGAACTCTTAACTTGCTGCGCCAATTTCGTTCCTAATGGCAACCAAAACTGAATAACACTTTCATCTACTACCATTGTATTGGATTGTGTGTTGAGCATTTCTCTTAACAATCAGTACACATTTAGGACCTTTCAAAAATGGCTTTTGCTGTTTTGACCAACCTCAATGATCTTCCAAAGATACACACGGACATAGTTATTACGGGCCTAAATAAATATAAACAAATTTAGACGATATTTTAGACACGGGGTAAAAATGATGAACAGTAGACGAATGTTTACAATCTTTTAACGATTACATGAATCAGGATTAACAATAAATTTTAAAACCAGTTACATTTTAAAATTAATTATCTTTTTAAAGTCAAAGTTTTTATAGTTCAAATATTAGTTATTTTATAATATTTATATGTGTTTGAATACAAGTTTAAATCTTGTCGACTGCACACCAGGTATCCCCAAACCTTTAAACAATTTACAAAACCTAAACCGAACCGTTAAAAATTTTGTCATTCGAACTTGAACCTCTAAAAATATATGCGAAACGGTTCAAACTTTTTGATACCCCAACTATTTTAAAGCACATTAATAATCGATTTTGATTGATAGTATCTATTTTCAGATATTTTAGTATATTGTTATTGGTCTATGCCAGCCACCGAGGTTATAGAAGTGTTCTCAATCATAGATTTATTTCCATCATCTCTTTATAAATATAATTTGACAGAAGAGAATATTAAAAATATTTTATATAGTTCAATATATAATATTTTTGGGAATAGGGACAAAATTTTAAAAGATGTGCACTTCAATTTGCATAATTCTAATTAGGGGTGTGTGAAAAAACTTGAACCAGGTTTTAAAGGTTCAAACCATACGGATATTATTATTTCTTAAGAACGAACCTGAACCAATATTCGTTACGGTTCGGATCCCTGCTGCACATATAATGCCAGCACACGATCCAATTCAGTGGTAGTACAAGAGAATTTTTTCTTCGAAAACATAAAATAAATGATAATTAATCATTAGTCCTAAAAGTTATTAACTATTTTTTTATAACTATTAAAACTAACTTGAATGCTGCAGAATCCTATTCCGACGGAACTGATCAAAATGAGGTTCTCTTTCAGCATAGCAACGAACTTATCGATACAACCCTATTGATTAAAATAATATATTTTACAAACATAAAATTTAAAAAAATATATTAAAAAAATAACTAATTATTGCTTGGTTATTATGGGCGGAACAAATTATCCTTATCCTTCGAAGTACCCTATATCTATTTATATTTTAAAAAACCCTCAAAATTAATTTTAGATATCTTTTCATGAAATTGAAAGTGAACAATAATTAATGACAAAGTAATGAAATCTACATATCCGCAATTCTTAAATTCTCCCGTTATAATTCGCTTTCATATAGAAATTCCAAGAATATCTTCTAGCGGGTATCTTACTAACATTAAATTCAAATGAGTCAATTTTTAACTTTAGCATATATAAGTGTTAAAAAAAATGGGATAAAATAAAAAATTTAAATTATGGCTACCCATTTTCGTTTAAATTAATGAGGATAGGGCAGTTCTCCCACTTAAATCTAATTATTAGGGCTGTTCCGATATTAAGTATCGGATAGGGCCAATACCTGTAAAAAACTAGGGCTGTGCTGATATTAAATATCGGATCGGCACCGATATTTAGCGTTTTCTAAAAATATCGGATCAATCCATATCTGTAAAAACCGATCTGATCCGATATCTGTAAAAACCAATCCGATCTTTTCCCCTTTTTTTGTTATTTTATGTTATGTATATTTATTTTACATTAATAATATTTTCTAAATATTTTTTTTAAAAAAATGCAAATGCACAACACCCCTTACATTTTATTTATTTTTTTATAAAAAATAGAAAGGACCCTAGTTTTATTTATTTTAAATATTTTTAAATAATAACGCCAATTTTATTATTTTATACATTAAATAAAAGAATTTTTTAAATATGATATCTGAATTATGGAAAAATTTTATTTAAAAAAATCTAATATATTATAATTTTATATATTAAATTTTAAAATTCATACCAACATAAAATGGATATATTATTAAATATATTTATTTTATCTATTATAATATATATTTTTTTAATTATTGTAGAAATAAAAAAATTAAATGAAATGCATAATTCGATTTTTGGCATAAAAATATTGATTTCTTAATTACATTTGGTTCAAAGGGGGGTGGTGAAAAATCAATATAAATATCGGATCGGTGTAAATATATCCGATCTTAGTTTTTTTTTGTTATTTTATTTTATTTTATGTTATGTATTATTTATTTTATATTATAATATTTTTTTTATCTATTTAAAATATAATTTTTTTAAAATTATAGTCTTAATTGTAGAAATAAAAAAAATTAAATTATGCATAATTCGATTTTTTGCATAAAAAATATTGATTTCTTAATTACATGGTTCAAATAGGGGTGGTGAAAAATCAGTATAAATATCAAATCGGTGAAAAATAAATGGATCGGCACAGCCCTACTAATTATAATTTAAACTTTTAAAAATTAGACTAGATTTCTAAAACCCCTGACAGCCACAAATGACTGGCTCGGAAAAGGTAAAATTTACATCATAATAAATATTGGATGGATGGTCTCTGACGCCACAGAAGGGAGTGATAGTCTTGCAACAAGAGTCCGGCACGGTAATGTTTATCGAGAGGCGATTATCTTGAAACCAAGAGCTATTTTTCCAATCCATATAAGAATCAACACCGCAACATTTGTGCTGAAGCAAACATGATAAGTAAAAAAATATAATAATCGTTAATGGATGGTAAACATATAAAAATATATTTTGCAAGCAGGGTTGTAGTGAGAGTTGAGATCTTACACCTTTCTAAGTTCTTTTATCAAAAACCGATTTTAGTTAAGAGGGTGGAGATATGCTCTCAACCCATTTGAAAGCACTACTCTTTCCAAATCAGGAAATGTAAATTTTTTATGTTAAACGATCTATTATAAAGATTAACCAACTGATTATTTGATATAATTTAAATAAATTTATAAAAAACCCGGCTCGGGGTGATTAAAAATAAATAGTTATAAACCCGACAGGGGTTTGCATTTTTTTAAGCTCACGCTCGATTTTAAAAATTATACTAAATTATTAATGTACTCATTTCATTAATATCTACCACTTTAGGCTAATTCATGTCGTTTACTTAATATAATTTTATTACGTGATGAAAAACTTTTACAAAATATATTTTAGGGGCCGGGTAAAACTAATTACGGGTTGGGTCGAAACACGGTTCTTTCTTTCCTACTTATAAAGTTCTTTTACTTTCCATAATTATTGAAAAAACATTTGATATAATTTAAAAAAATATTAGAAACTGAATACCTCAAATTTTTTAAAAGTCACCAATATGAAAGATAATTGATTATTTCTTCCATGTATTATATATATAAATACTAAATATTTAAAATAAATTAGAAATTTAAACAATTAAAGCTTTACCGTATTCTGTTATGAGAATAAAAATTTGCGAAATCATAAAAAAAACTATTTAAAAGATTTAACCACCCCCCCCCACCCCAATAATCTCTATTTTATTAATAATTTAAGGATTAATTGATTTTTTAAGAACTCCGATATATCGGGTTGAATTTTGACGAAAGAAAGTGATTTTGATAATTCTCTCCTAAACCTCAGTCGATAAATAGGAGAATTATTTATAATTTAACGATGTAGGTTTTGAATTTTATCGACGTGAAGACCCCATCGATAATCGTATATTTTTTTTAGCCCATCTATTCCTTGTGCATATCGATATGTTTTTCCCTTGGAAGGAGGTTATTTGACGAAAGGTCTTCAGGGTGCCCTACCATAGTGTGAAATAACATGGATATTAAATCCAGTCTCCTCCAGGAAGAATACATATTCAAATAAAATATTTTCACTTTTTCATAATATTCCTTCCGAAATTGAATAACATCGGGAGCGTTTCTCCTATCGGGTTTTTTTCAACCCTTTTCCTGCCTATATGAGACATTTTGAGATTGCCGAATCACTGATTTTTTAAATGTGGTGGCAAATTTTCTATTATGTTTTTTATGGCATTTATATTTTCCAATCAATTCAATTATACTTGATTTAAGTTCTGTGTGGTCCTTTTTATCCCGACCTCGCTGTTGTAATATATAATTAGTTAAAGGGTTATTTTAATATTCAGGAAAAGTTTCCTACTCAACGACAAATGGAAACAACAGATAAATTTAGATCATGTGATATTCTCTTTGCATAGGGTTGAGTTGATCATCAATTGGCTTACTCAGCCATTTTCATTTACAACATTCTTATATAGTTATTTTACAAGTCGTAATTAAATGAAAAAACATGTTGAGAAAAATATATTATTTTTCAAATTGTGATAATTTTTATTTTTTCTAATATTCGAATTTCACTCGCTAGTATTTCGAATATATCGACAGTTTCTAGTATGTCAATTTAATATTATTTACTAACTTTATAAACATCTGATAAAATATCAAATTTCCTCTGGGGTTTTGTCTGATATAGCAAATAGATATCAAAATTATTGAGCCATCCATTGAATTCTCTTATGTGTTTATCAAAATATGCAATAATCATCTTTATTAGAATCGACAAATTTTGATCCCATGATCAGATTGCGAAGGAAAAAATTGGTAATTAGAGGGAAAAAAAGATTGAATAGTTTAAAATATCGTTGAATAAGCCAATTGGCGATCATCCCGATAACGACAATAGCCCATGATTTAAATTTATCTGTTCGTCCGTTTATCGTTTCAAGCGGAAAACTTTTCTTTATGACGAACCTTTACCTAATTATATAATTAAACAAAGAGGTAGGAAGAAAAAGAACTACACAGAACTTAAATCTAATTACTGAATTGTTTGGTAATAATAACGGCTTTACCATAAAAAATATAATAGAACATTTACCCTCACATTAAATGAGCGATTCTGCTATATCAAAATGCATCAAATCAATAGGGGAAAGAAGCCGATAGAAGAAAAAAGAGTATTGTGACAAAATGAAAAATATTTCTTTTGAAAATGTATTGTTCCTGGACGAGACACGGTTTAATATCCAAATTATTTCACACTTTGGTGAGTATCTTTAAGAAAAGGTCATCTATTAAGTTACCTGCCAAAGAAAAAATATATCAGTACTGTGCACAATATGATGATGTGGACTGGTTGAAAATTTCTAATCTCATACAATAAAATTGATTAGATATGGAATTAGATAAAGTTTTGTTTGAAACTAGTTATGAACACAACCATAAAAAAAATTAATAAATATATTTTTTTAAATTATATCAAAATTATTTTTACAATAATTATGGCAAGTGTTACAACCAGCGTCTACATGGCAGAAAATTTGATGGAGGCAACCCCCATCCCAAATCTACCCCTACCCCCCTAAAAAAATTTCGCGGCCTTCGGCCGCGATATTTGCCTTAATCAAGAAAATCTTATATTAAGTCACTATTTATACCCTTACAAACATTCAGACCTGCTTTGGAAAAAAAAATTTACAAACTGATAACTATTGTTACTATCCGTTTTCAATTAACTTATATTTAAGTAGGTAGTGCAATCTTTTCATAATTTGATTGATAATCAATTTATTTTCATAAAAATTAATATAATAGCAGTGTCTACATGGCCGGGGGGGTAGGAGACAAATGCCTCCAAAAAATATTGGCATTTTGGGGGGTAGGTATTAATTTTGGGGGGTAGATATTGATTTTTGGGGGGTAGGCATTTGTTTTTGGGGGGTAGGTATTGATTTTTGGAGGGTAATTTTTGACTTGTATTATGATATTTTTAAATCCAATAATCGATATGATTATCGTTGATTTTCTGAAAAATGTCAATTAAAGAAAAGATATCTGTCAATTTATAAATATTATACACTATATTTATTTTTTTAAATTTTTAGAAAATTCATTTACATAATGGGATTTAGATTTTCACAGTATCAATTTTAAATTATCAATATATATTTTTTTATAATAAGGACCTTTTGAATAAAGAATCCCTTTTATGATAAGATAATCCTACTCAATTAACAATATAAAGAAACATTTTTGGATTTTAAAAAGGTAATTTTTTAAGCATATAATTGCATTTTCCTTAATTTGATGATAGATAAATAAATATAATAAAGAATGAAGCTATTTTTATTTAATCTTAATATGTATACTTAATAAGTTATCTGGGTTTTGAACCATGGCAATTATTTTTGCTAATAATTTTTTAAATAATCATTTTCAATGGGGTAAATATTACCACATTTTTGTGAGGCAATCAGGTTGGACCCATAATTGATTTCTATTTATGATAAATGATTCTTTGAGGTAAGTGTAAATTATATACAAAATTATAAGTGAGAGGTGAAAACCATTGTGTGATAAAAAATTTGTTAAAAGAATTGATAAATTTTTTATTTCATTATTAGATAAATTTTATATAACATCAAATTTTCCATAATATATTTGGCCTTTTTTCTAAATATTTATAGAAATCTTGGGAGAATGAACAGATAATCTATTCCTCTCATTTGATTATTGATTTAAGAAAAGATTTCAATTAAATGAATTGACAAAGTGATTCCATATACTGAAATATTGTTTATTTTTGTTAACAATAAATTAAATTTTTGGATATGGCTTGGGAATAATCTTTGAAACCTATGATGTGGTTTGGGTTTGGATTTCCATTAAACATGAACTGGGCCTGAAAATTATTTTTACTTATGACCTAGGCTGGATGAAGAAATCAATGCCAGTGAAGGTCTCTAATTTCAATGATTAAAATATATCATTTCTCAGACTTTATTTGAAGATAAATGAATGGGCAAATCACAAATATGCCTGTTTTCAATTATTTGCAAAATTTATTAGGATTGTTAATTTAAAGAAACTATGATTTCAAAGCATCATACATTTCTAAAAATTGTTGGACACTAAGAAATAAAGAAATCAATTGTGAAGTGTATAATGGAGGAAATATTGATCCATGATTGTTTTGGCATAAATAACAAAAAATATTATATTTTTTGTGACCATGCATTAAGCTTACATATAATATAATAGGAATCTTTTAAGAAAACATTATCAAAAATATAAGTTAATAGCTGATAGTCCATTATGAATGACTGGTAATCAGAATTTTCTTCTTTATTCAATGATGGGTGCATAATAAATTTCCTTTATATGATGATGATTGAATCAGTAAATTTTTCATTATTTTTATAAAATATGTTAATAGAGTGTATATTTATGAATTTTAATTTAAAAACAATAAGGGTCTAGAATATATTTTTTTGATTATAAATTACAAATACAAATGAATAAGAATTTATTTTAAAAGATTTTAATATATTTTTTAGATTAAAAATATAATACAAATGAATAAAAATTTATTGTGCACATATATTAAAATATCTAAATATATATTTCTTTAATATATTTTGTAAAACCACTGGAAAATTTTAAAATTACACCCTCATTTAAACAAATATAAATTTAATTTCTGAATCACACCTCATAAGATAGGAGAATTTTAAGATTCAGCCATCCACCGTCAAATAAAGGATAAAATTATGATTCTCCATCATTCTTGATGGCCATCAGTGAGTAAAAAAATATTATCTAAATATTTATTTCATTTTTATTCTAGATGCCAAGTAACAAAACAATATATAAAGTCAAATGTGACTATATTAATTGTAAAACTTCTAAAATAAGAAGTGACAAAATAAATAACCATTATAAACATAAACATCCTCATGTCAAGTTATCTGATATCAAATTTACAAAGATAGCTATCAAAAAGGATAATAATTGGGTATCCTTAAATAAAGATATTCCATTCAATATCACAAATGGGGTTGAAACCAAGTTACAAAAAAAATCAATAACATCTTACTTCCAAAAAGTAATTTTTTATATATATTATTTTAATTCATGACAATAAATATAAGTAAAAATAACCTTAAATTTTGTGAATTAGTAGAAACCAATTCTTCATCTATAATTTGAGCATAATACTTTTAATTTTTATTAAAGATAAGATTTTTAATATATAGGTACATTTTTATTATGCCCTTTATCAATTTTGAAGGAAATAAATTATAAGAATATTTAAATATTTCAACTTTTGTTAAAAAAAAATTTATATATTATAATTAAGAATAAAATAAGTCATTTGCCTAAAATTTTCACTACTCTTTATTTAATAATTAGCACAAATCTTTTATTGAAGATTCCCAAATTATATTATCTCATACAATGCCCAGTTCCAGTGATCTGCTGATTTTGAATAATGAGGTACTTAATTTAAATAAGATTTGTTTTATAATTTTGAAGGGAATAAATGAGGATATTCAGATATTTTCATGAACAAATTTTAATTAATCTTTATTTAATAATTAGCTCAAATCTTTTACTGAAGATTCCCAAATTATATTATCTCATACAATGCCCAGTTCCAGTGATCTGGTGATTTTGAATGATGAGGTACTTAATTTAAATAAGATTTGTTTGATAATTCTGAAGTGAATAAATTATGAAATATTTTCCACTTTTCTATATCTTAATTAAGAATAAAATTTTTATTAAAATTAAGATTTTCATAAGTAAACAAATTTTAACCACTCTTTATTTAATAATTAGCATGAATCTTTTATTGAAGATTCCCAAATTATATTATCTTCTCATACAATGCCCAGTTCCAGTGATCTGCTGATTTTGAATAATGAGGTACTTAATTTAAATAAGATTTCTTTTATAATTTTGAAGGGAATAAATGAGGATATTCAGATATTTTCATGAATAAACAAATTTTAATTATTCTTTATTTAATAATTAGCACAAATCTTTTACTGAAGATTCCCAAATTATATTATCTTCTCATACAATGCCCAGTTCCAGTGATCTGCTGATTTTGAATGATGAGGTATTTAATTTAAATAAAACTATACACTCTTTAATAATAATTAGCAAACACACAAAGTTATTGAAAATTCCCCAATTATATCTTTTTTTCATCCAATTATCAATCCCAATGCAAGCCAAAATATTTCAAACATTAAAGGCCCAAATATTATTCAATTATATAAAAAAAAGGAGCCTAATGACCCTTTTCATTTCATATTCTTTAGAATGACAAATATCTTGATTAATTTCATAATTTCCATAGGCCCATGTCAGCCATGTTCAAATATATTTCAATATCCTGTTACTCACAAAAGGTTTTTAAAAAATTTAATTTTTATTAATTTTTACGCATCCATTATTTCTACTTTTAAATAGGAGCATGAATATATCCTATTATAAAAAGGTTAATATTGATGGTTCCCTCAAACCAAGAAATTGGTTATCCTATAGCACCACTTTAGACAAAGTCTTTTGTCTTTATTGTCTTATGTTTGGTGGCCCTAAATCCAATACTTTTTGGACTCAACTTGGAGTAAATAATTGGAAAAATTTTAAGCGTGACTTAGAGAGACATGAGTCATCTTTGATATAATAATGGAAAATCGTAATATAGTTCATAATATTATTGATGCCATTATATACCTTATAAAATGTAACATAGCCTTTTGGGGCACTAATTCGAATGAAGGTAATTTTATGTGCCTCATAAAATTAATGGCAAAAACGGTTCCAACTTTACGGGCATACATTGATAACAACGAAAAATTGAGGAGAAAAAAATCAGATAAAATTTCAAGACCTTATATAAATTTATTGTCATATGGCCATGTGAAAAAAATTATTGAAGTCATTAAGATAAAAATAATAAAATGTATTATTCAAAAAATTAAAGAGAATTGTGCCTATAGCATCATATTAGATGGAACATATGATGTGTCTAAAAAAGAATGCATTGCTTTACTTGTAAGATATATAGAAGATGATCCGCATCCACATCCTGTAGAAAGGATCATCCATGTTTTTACAACATCAGAAACCACCGGGGAAAATATAAAGAAACATGTTTTTTCTAAGTTCAAAGATCTTGGTCTTCCTCTTGATTATATGGTTGGGCAAAGTATGGATGGTGCAGGGAATATGAGAGGAGTATACAAAGGAATGCAGGCTTTAATATTGAAAGAGGCTCCAAAAGCCATATATATTTGGTGCCATGCACATAGGCTCAATTTAGTAGTTGCTCATGTTTGTGGATGCAAAATAGAAATGAAAAAGGTAATGGGAATATTGGATGAGTTATATAATTTCATGAATGGGGTAAGACGTCAAGGAGTGTTTGTTAAATATCAAATGACAAAGTCTAAAAAATCTCTTAAAAGAATAAAAAATACAACAAGGTAAATATAATATTTTTAATGTAACTTATCTTTTTTTAGAAATTGGTCATCATCTTATAAAGCTGTAGAAATTTTTTTAGATGTTTATGAACATATTATAGCATCATTAAATGAATTAAAAGATTCTAATGACCCAAGCACCTCTTCTATTGCCGATGGATTATTAACAAGAATTAAGGATGAAGATTTCATATTAAGTCTATTTATTTTGAAAGAAATATTGAAATGCACACATGAGGCTTGTATTGAAATGCAGGCAGTTGGTAATGATTTGGCTATGGTAACTAAATTAATACAACACACAAAAAATAAATTACAAAGACTAAGAGGTTAAAATTAGTTACGATTTCTATAAATAATTTTAAAATGTAGCTAATGGGGATAATATTTTTTTAAAATTGCATTCCTTATCTAACAGTTATTTGAAAAAGAATAATGTTACAACGGAATTGCATAATATAAAATCAATATTCAAATTTGATCAAACAGCATTCAATAATTATGTTAAACAAAAAAAAAACAAGTTGAATAAAAAAAGATTTAAAATTATTATTTAGCATTATAGATATAAAAGGGAAATATTTTTCCCTGTGCTTGATACAATCATTAATGATTTAAATGAAAGATTTAATTATGATTGTTTAAATTTTTTATCTCAAATATCTCTTTTTACACCAGCTGGAATTATAGCCAATGATAGAATAGAAGGGTGGCAAATATCTCAAATTTGTCATACTTACCAATTAAATGCTCAAGATATTGCTCGTGAATATAATGATTTTCGATCTTTATATTTGGATTCACAAGCAATCATTTATTGCAAGGATCTTTTGAAAATAAAAAAGAATGATGGGTTATATATTGATGAAAGTAATTTATTGATATTTTATTTAAAATTATATATAATTAAAGGTATTGTAAACGATGAAACCGAGGAAGATATCAATAACGATAACATAATTAATACAAAAAAATGGATAAAATATTCATTTATACTACCATATCGTCTTTTAAATAAATTAAATTCTTATTCTAATTTATATTTATTATATAAATATTTATTGACTCTACCAACTACTTCTTGTTCAGCCGAAAGAGTGATGAGCAAAGTCAAAATAAATAAAACTAGAATGCGGAATAAAATTTCTACCCCTTTTTAGAAAATTTACTTCTAATATCCAGCGAAATTGATGTTTTTGAAAGATTTAAAATAGACGACATTATAACGCGATTTGCATCTACGTCTAAAAGATTAACTAAATTATTAATAAAATAAGTTATATCTTTTTCACAGCTAATTATATACGCCTTTTTAATAATGTAAATTTAATTTAATAGTTTTTTATATCATTCTAGTCCGGTGCATAATATAATACTATATTCATTTTATTTAAATATTTTATAATAGTTATATTTACATAAATGTTTTTATAATTCCAGTGCAAAATATATTATATTCATTTTATTTTAATATTTTATATAAAACTTATATTTACATAGATGTTTTTATAATTCCAGTGCAACTATATTCATTTTTTTCTCATATTTTATATAAAAGTTATATTTACATAAAAAAATTTATATTTCCAGTGCAAAATATACTCTATTCATTTTATATTTTATATAATAGTTATATTTACATAAATGTTTTTATAATTCTTGTGCAAAATATACTATATTCTTTATTCTAATATTTTATATAAAAGTTATATTTACATAAAAATTTTTTTTATATAATAGTTATATCTATATGAATGTTTTTAATTAATATAAAGGCATTAGTATTTATAGAATCAAGCTATACCTCTTTAAAATTACTCATTTTGTTTTTTTTACTTAATATAAAGGTATTAGTAATTATAGAATCAAGCTATACCTCTTTAAAATTACTCATCTTATATTTTTTTACTAAATTTTTGATATTTTTTTATAGTAATGTAAATATGTTATCTCATTTAATACTATTATATTAATTTTTATGAAAATAAATTGATTATCAATCAAATTATGAAAAGATTGCACTACCTACTTAAATATAAGTTAATTGAAAACGGATAGTAACAATAGTTATCAGTTTGTAAATTTTTTTTTCCAAAGCAGGTCTGAATGTTTGTAAGGGTATAAATAGTGACTTAATATAAGATTTTCTTGATTAAGGCAAATATCGCGGCCGAAGGCCGCGAAATTTTTTTAGGGGGGTAGGGGTAGATTTGGGATGGGGGTTGCCTCCATCAAATTTTCTGCCATGTAGACGCTGTATAATAGTATTAAATGAGATAACATATTTACATTACTATAAAAAAATATCAAAAATTTAGTAAAAAAATATAAGATGAGTAATTTTAAAGAGGTATAGCTTGATTCTATAATTACTAATACCTTTATATTAAGTAAAAAAAACAAAATGAGTAATTTTAAAGAGGTATAGCTTGATTCTATAAATACTAATGCCTTTATATTAATTAAAAACATTCATATAGATATAACTATTATATAAAAAAAATTTTTATGTAAATATAACTTTTATATAAAATATTAGAATAAAGAATATAGTATATTTTGCACAAGAATTATAAAAACATTTAAGTAAATATAACTATTATATAAAATATAAAATGAATAGAGTATATTTTGCACTGGAAATATAAATTTTTTTATGTAAATATAACTTTTATATAAAATATGAGAAAAAAATGAATATAGTTGCACTGGAATTATAAAAACATCTATGTAAATATAAGTTTTATATAAAATATTAAAATAAAATGAATATAATATATTTTGCACTGGAATTATAAAAACATTTATGTAAATATAACTATTATAAAATATTTAAATAAAATGAATATAGTATTATATTATGCACCGGACTAGAATGATATAAAAAACTATTAAATTAAATTTACATTATTAAAAAGGCGTATATAATTAGCTGTGAAAAAGATATAACTTATTTTATTAATAATTTAGTTAATCTTTTAGACGTAGATGCAAATCGCGTTATAATGTCGTCTATTTTAAATCTTTCAAAAACATCAATTTCGCTGGATATTAGAAGTAAATTTTCTAAAAAGGGGTCAGAAATTTTATTCCGCATTCTAGTTTTATTTATTTTGACTTTGCTCATCACTCTTTCGGCTGAACAAGAAGTAGTTGGTAGAGTCAATAAATATTTATATAATAAATATAAATTAGAATAAGAATTTAATTTATTTAAAAGACGATATGGTAGTATAAATGAATATTTTATCCATTTTTTTGTATTAATTATGTTATCGTTATTGATATCTTCCTCGGTTTCATCGTTTACAATACCTTTAATTATATATAATTTTAAATAAAATATCAATAAATTACTTTCATCAATATATAACCCATCATTCTTTTTTATTTTCAAAAGATCCTTGCAATAAATGATTGCTTGTGAATCCAAATATAAAGATCGAAAATCATTATATTCACGAGCAATATCTTGAGCATTTAATTGGTAAGTATGACAAATTTGAGATATTTGCCACCCTTCTATTCTATCATTGGCTATAATTCCAGCTGGTGTAAAAAGAGATATTTGAGATAAAAAATTTAAACAATCATAATTAAATCTTTCATTTAAATCATTAATGATTGTATCAAGCACAGGGAAAAATATTTCCCTTTTATATCTATAATGCTAAATAATAATTTTAAATCTTTTTTTATTCAACTTGTTTTTTTTTTGTTTAACATAATTATTGAATGCTGTTTGATCAAATTTGAATATTGATTTTATATTATGCAATTCCGTTGTAACATTATTCTTTTTCAAATAACTGTTAGATAAGGAATGCAATTTTAAAAAAATATTATCCCCATTAGCTACATTTTAAAATTATTTATAGAAATCGTAACTAATTTTAACCTCTTAGTCTTTGTAATTTATTTTTTGTGTGTTGTATTAATTTAGTTACCATAGCCAAATCATTACCAACTGCCTGCATTTCAATACAAGCCTCATGTGTGCATTTCAATATTTCTTTCAAAATAAATAGACTTAATATGAAATCTTCATCCTTAATTCTTGTTAATAATCCATCGGCAATAGAAGAGGTGCTTGGGTCATTAGAATCTTTTAATTCATTTAATGATGCTATAATATGTTCATAAACATCTAAAAAAATTTCTACAGCTTTATAAGATGATGACCAATTTCTAAAAAAAGATAAGTTACATTAAAAATATTATATTTACCTTGTTGTATTTTTTATTCTTTTAAGAGATTTTTTAGACTTTGTCATTTGATATTTAACAAACACTCCTTGACGTCTTACCCCATTCATGAAATTATATAACTCATCCAATATTCCCATTACCTTTTTCATTTCTATTTTGCATCCACAAACATGAGCAACTACTAAATTGAGCCTATGTGCATGGCACCAAATATATATGGCTTTTGGAGCCTCTTTCAATATTAAAGCCTGCATTCCTTTGTATACTCCTCTCATATTCCCTGCACCATCCATACTTTGCCCAACCATATAATCAAGAGGAAGACCAAGATCTTTGAACTTAGAAAAAACATGTTTCTTTATATTTTCCCCGGTGGTTTCTGATGTTGTAAAAACATGGATGATCCTTTCTACAGGATGTGGATGCGGATCATCTTCTATATATCTTACAAGTAAAGCAATGCATTCTTTTTTAGACACATCATATGTTCCATCTAATATGATGCTATAGGCACAATTCTCTTTAATTTTTTGAATAATACATTTTATTATTTTTATCTTAATGACTTCAATAATTTTTTTCACATGGCCATATGACAATAAATTTATATAAGGTCTTGAAATTTTATCTGATTTTTTTCTCCTCAATTTTTCGTTGTTATCAATGTATGCCCGTAAAGTTGGAACCGTTTTTGCCATTAATTTTATGAGGCACATAAAATTACCTTCATTCGAATTAGTGCCCCAAAAGGCTATGTTACATTTTATAAGGTATATAATGGCATCAATAATATTATGAACTATATTACGATTTTCCATTATTATATCAAGCCTATTTGATAGAAAATGATCTTGAATACGCTTATTTGCAAGCCAAGTCATGTTGGTGTATTCACAATCCTTATGAATAGAAGATGACTCATGTCTCTCTAAGTCACGCTTAAAATTTTTCCAATTATTTACTCCAAGTTGAGTCCAAAAAGTATTGGATTTAGGGCCACCAAACATAAGACAATAAAGACAAAAGACTTTGTCTAAAGTGGTGCTATAGGATAACCAATTTCTTGGTTTGAGGGAACCATCAATATTAACCTTTTTATAATAGGATATATTCATGCTCCTATTTAAAAGTAGAAATAATGGATGCGTAAAAATTAATAAAAATTAAATTTTTTAAAAACCTTTTGTGAGTAACAGGATATTGAAATATATTTGAACATGGCTGACATGGGCCTATGGAAATTATGAAATTAATCAAGATATTTGTCATTCTAAAGAATATGAAATGAAAAGGGTCATTAGGCTCCTTTTTTTTATATAATTGAATAATATTTGGGCCTTTAATGTTTGAAATATTTTGGCTTGCATTGGGATTGATAATTGGATGAAAAAAAGATATAATTGGGGAATTTTCAATAACTTTGTGTGTTTGCTAATTATTATTAAAGAGTGTATAGTTTTATTTAAATTAAATACCTCATCATTCAAAATCAGCAGATCACTGGAACTGGGCATTGTATGAGAAGATAATATAATTTGGGAATCTTCAGTAAAAGATTTGTGCTAATTATTAAATAAAGAATAATTAAAATTTGTTTATTCATGAAAATATCTGAATATCCTCATTTATTCCCTTCAAAATTATAAAAGAAATCTTATTTAAATTAAGTACCTCATTATTCAAAATCAGCAGATCACTGGAACTGGGCATTGTATGAGAAGATAATATAATTTGGGAATCTTCAATAAAAGATTCATGCTAATTATTAAATAAAGAGTGGTTAAAATTTGTTTACTTATGAAAATCTTAATTTTAATAAAAATTTTATTCTTAATTAAGATATAGAAAAGTGGAAAATATTTCATAATTTATTCACTTCAGAATTATCAAACAAATCTTATTTAAATTAAGTACCTCATCATTCAAAATCACCAGATCACTGGAACTGGGCATTGTATGAGATAATATAATTTGGGAATCTTCAGTAAAAGATTTGAGCTAATTATTAAATAAAGATTAATTAAAATTTGTTCATGAAAATATCTGAATATCCTCATTTATTCCCTTCAAAATTATAAAACAAATCTTATTTAAATTAAGTACCTCATTATTCAAAATCAGCAGATCACTGGAACTGGGCATTGTATGAGATAATATAATTTGGGAATCTTCAATAAAAGATTTGTGCTAATTATTAAATAAAGAGTAGTGAAAATTTTAGGCAAATGACTTATTTTATTCTTAATTATAATATATAAATTTTTTTTTAACAAAAGTTGAAATATTTAAATATTCTTATAATTTATTTCCTTCAAAATTGATAAAGGGCATAATAAAAATGTACCTATATATTAAAAATCTTATCTTTAATAAAAATTAAAAGTATTATGCTCAAATTATAGATGAAGAATTGGTTTCTACTAATTCACAAAATTTAAGGTTATTTTTACTTATATTTATTGTCATGAATTAAAATAATATATATAAAAAATTACTTTTTGGAAGTAAGATGTTATTGATTTTTTTTGTAACTTGGTTTCAACCCCATTTGTGATATTGAATGGAATATCTTTATTTAAGGATACCCAATTATTATCCTTTTTGATAGCTATCTTTGTAAATTTGATATCAGATAACTTGACATGAGGATGTTTATGTTTATAATGGTTATTTATTTTGTCACTTCTTATTTTAGAAGTTTTACAATTAATATAGTCACATTTGACTTTATATATTGTTTTGTTACTTGGCATCTAGAATAAAAATGAAATAAATATTTAGATAATATTTTTTTACTCACTGATGGCCATCAAGAATGATGGAGAATCATAATTTTATCCTTTATTTGACGGTGGATGGCTGAATCTTAAAATTCTCCTATCTTATGAGGTGTGATTCAGAAATTAAATTTATATTTGTTTAAATGAGGGTGTAATTTTAAAATTTTCCAGTGGTTTTACAAAATATATTAAAGAAATATATATTTAGATATTTTAATATATGTGCACAATAAATTTTTATTCATTTGTATTATATTTTTAATCTAAAAAATATATTAAAATCTTTTAAAATAAATTCTTATTCATTTGTATTTGTAATTTATAATCAAAAAAATATATTCTAGACCCTTATTGTTTTTAAATTAAAATTCATAAATATACACTCTATTAACATATTTTATAAAAATAATGAAAAATTTACTGATTCAATCATCATCATATAAAGGAAATTTATTATGCACCCATCATTGAATAAAGAAGAAAATTCTGATTACCAGTCATTCATAATGGACTATCAGCTATTAACTTATATTTTTGATAATGTTTTCTTAAAAGATTCCTATTATATTATATGTAAGCTTAATGCATGGTCACAAAAAATATAATATTTTTTGTTATTTATGCCAAAACAATCATGGATCAATATTTCCTCCATTATACACTTCACAATTGATTTCTTTATTTCTTAGTGTCCAACAATTTTTAGAAATGTATGATGCTTTGAAATCATAGTTTCTTTAAATTAACAATCCTAATAAATTTTGCAAATAATTGAAAACAGGCATATTTGTGATTTGCCCATTCATTTATCTTCAAATAAAGTCTGAGAAATGATATATTTTAATCATTGAAATTAGAGACCTTCACTGGCATTGATTTCTTCATCCAGCCTAGGTCATAAGTAAAAATAATTTTCAGGCCCAGTTCATGTTTAATGGAAATCCAAACCCAAACCACATCATAGGTTTCAAAGATTATTCCCAAGCCATATCCAAAAATTTAATTTATTGTTAACAAAAATAAACAATATTTCAGTATATGGAATCACTTTGTCAATTCATTTAATTGAAATCTTTTCTTAAATCAATAATCAAATGAGAGGAATAGATTATCTGTTCATTCTCCCAAGATTTCTATAAATATTTAGAAAAAAGGCCAAATATATTATGGAAAATTTGATGTTATATAAAATTTATCTAATAATGAAATAAAAAATTTATCAATTCTTTTAACAAATTTTTTATCACACAATGGTTTTCACCTCTCACTTATAATTTTGTATATAATTTACACTTACCTCAAAGAATCATTTATCATAAATAGAAATCAATTATGGGTCCAACCTGATTGCCTCACAAAAATGTGGTAATATTTACCCCATTGAAAATGATTATTTAAAAAATTATTAGCAAAAATAATTGCCATGGTTCAAAACCCAGATAACTTATTAAGTATACATATTAAGATTAAATAAAAATAGCTTCATTCTTTATTATATTTATTTATCTATCATCAAATTAAGGAAAATGCAATTATATGCTTAAAAAATTACCTTTTTAAAATCCAAAAATGTTTCTTTATATTGTTAATTGAGTAGGATTATCTTATCATAAAAGGGATTCTTTATTCAAAAGGTCCTTATTATAAAAAAATATATATTGATAATTTAAAATTGATACTGTGAAAATCTAAATCCCATTATGTAAATGAATTTTCTAAAAATTTAAAAAAATAAATATAGTGTATAATATTTATAAATTGACAGATATCTTTTCTTTAATTGACATTTTTCAGAAAATCAACGATAATCATATCGATTATTGGATTTAAAAATATCATAATACAAGTCAAAAATTACCCTCCAAAAATCAATACCTACCCCCCAAAAACAAATGCCTACCCCCCAAAAATCAATATCTACCCCCCAAAATTAATACCTACCCCCCAAAATGCCAATATTTTTTGGAGGCATTTGTCTCCTACCCCCCCGGCCATGTAGACACTGGTTACAACAAATCATATTATTTTACTGTATATTTAATATTTTTTTATTGTAAGGTTTTATAACAAAAAGTGTTTTTGTCTACATAATGTAAAGGGTATTTCTTATGGCAATGATTGTATCTTGATTAAAATACATGTGTTATTAAAATGTCGGTTAGTAGATTTAGTAAGATAGAAATTACAGTGTTGTGATGATTTAATGAAACATATTGACGATTTAATTTAAACACATGCATATATAATTATAATCTTTACAAATGTACAACAAAAGAAATAATAAAAGAAATTTCAATAATGCTTTGTCTATATTTTAATTATTTTTGTAAATATTATCATTTTGTATGAATGGGTTTAAATTTAATCATCAATATGTTTCATTAAATCATCACAACACTGTATGTATAGGGATGGCATTATTAATCTTGGTTCCACGTCTTTATAGAGAAACCATTATAGAGAATGTATTTTATAGAGAAACATTTATAGAGAAAACAATTATAGAGAATGCATTTATAGAGAATTGTTTTATAGAGAATGTTTTATAGAGAATGTTTTATATAGAGAATAATTTTTATAGAGAATTGATTTATAGAGAATGATTTTATAGAGAATCCCGTTTATAGAGAATGTTTTATAGAGAATTGATTTATAGAGAATGATTTTATAGAGAATGCCGCTTATAGAGAATGGTTTTATAGAGAATGTAATTTATAGAGAATGATTTTAAAGAGAATTATTTTATAGAGAATGTCCTTTATAAAGAATGACTTCAAAGAGAATGATTTTATAGAGAATGTTGTTTATAGAGAATGATTTTAAAGAGAATTATTTTGTGGAGAATTATATTGTAGAAAATTACATTGTAGAGAATTATTTGTAGATCTTGATTTTATAGAGAAATATTATATATGGGACAATTATAGAGTTCAAAAATTTTATGCGGGATTTGAAAAAAACACCCACCCCCCTCCTTTCAACAGAAAAGTTTGAATAAATAATTAGTCCTAATGATACGAAGAAATTTAAATATTAATGATAATTATACTTGCTTATAACCAGATCTATCTACCATTTATAAAAGGACACTTAACCATTCAAACAATGTTAAACAGGACCTTTTACCACAGGGTAAGGGGTTATAATTCAAGTTAGACATTGAAATTAAAAGGGGTAGTTTGTATTTGGAATTCCGTTATGTTTAACAAATGCAAAAAACCTATATAAAACATTTTAAACTTTTTGATTCATCTTTCTCTAAACTGATAGGAGTTTACGGCTTGTAATAAGAAATTTTCATTTTACTAAAATCAATTTAGAGAAAAAGGTGTATTATTTTAAATTTTGTCGATGTATAATTTTTAGGTAAGAGTTTGAACTATCATTTTGTATTTTGTAAATTCAGATACAATTATTTTTGGACCTATGATGATTTCGACATAAATTGATCCAACTACCCCTTAGTGTTCCCTCCTACCATGTGAATATTAGACAGTACTCTAGTCATCTTAACTTAATTTTGGTAAGGCGATAGTTTGATGGGTATTGTTTTATTTTTTGTTGTTATTTGCATTTAAAATCATTAATTGAGTGCGTTTTTTAAATTTAAAAATCTGATTTTGCAAGAAATGCACCTGAATAAGTATAACATACCCACCCTTAATGTTGCGCAATCGGTTAATTTTAGGCAATTCCAAAACGGTTAGCCAAGTTTTTAGGCCAAAAAATCGGCTAAGCATAATTTAGCATAAAAATAGGCGAAAACGAATAGTCAAAAATTAGGCATCGGCTAAGGAGCTCGGTTAATCACTCGTCATATATCGTTACATAATAAATTTATAAAATAATTTTAATAAAGGCTAGGCTTAGTGTTGCATAACGCAGACAAGCGATTAGCCTAGCTCCCAGTCCTTACATTTTGTCTATATAGTTTTAGGCGATTTTTCGGTTAAGCCAAATTAGGTTTAGCTGATTTTTAGGTTATTAACATTACTTATAAATTTCAGATTAATGTAAATTAAAATTTCTTCAGAAGTTCAATATAAAATCTTCTGAAATTTATAGGGTGGGTATTCTACACATATTGGAATGCATTTTCGGCAAAGTCAGATTTAAAATTTAATAAAACGCGCTCAATTTATGATTTAAAATGTAAAAAATAGAACAAAATACCCATCAAACTATCGCGCCCTTACCTTAATTTTTACTAAATTATATAGATTTTCATTATATATTATTAAATACAAAAAAATTTGGCGAAATCGTATGAAATTCCCAGGGTAGATTCTCTTCGGAATAGATTTGGTAAAATCAGATTTATCAGGGAAATTAGAAACGCGCACTATAAATCAGAGACCTACAGGCCCTTTAAATCCGGCCCAGATACACGGACTGGGCTGTATTTTAATTTTTTTTAAATATACCCGGGCCGAGCCTAAAATATTATTTTTTTAAATACACGGGCCGGGTCAAAAAAGCTTTTTTTTTAAAACCCGGGCCAGGCCATATATTTTAAAACCAAATATTTTAAATCACCATATTATCTAGGCAAAAATATATAATATATTTTCAAAAAATCGGGGCCGGGCCATGCAGATTAAAATAATGCACAAAGCAATTAAATATTGACAAAATTTTCTTAAAAAAAATTGGCGTAAGGCTGGTTTTGTTGCTAATAGTTTGTTTTTTTTAAATTGCTACTCTACTAGTTAAAGCAAAGCACTAATAGAAACTAATGCATATATACATTGTATATAAATATAAATTTAATTATATAATTTAAACATTTAAATTAATATTGCGAGACAATGCCCTTAGGTAATCTAACATGGGCCTTGAATAGTAATCTTCGACTATTCTATACACCCGTTGAGCTCTTTCTATTAAAAATATATTTAAGGATATTTATTTGGAAAATCTACTCAATAAGAGGCTAAGGATATTTAATCTGGAAAATCTACTCTTTCATTATGGAATTGCTATGATTCCACTCTGATGCGAGCTCCAAATACCAACAATGCAGTAGAAGGTTGGCACCGGAGTTTTTCTTCCCATATAAGTTCCCATCATCCAACCATTTGGAAATTTATCAAAAGTATGAAATATATATTTTATTAAAATATTTTAAAAATCTTATTTAATTTTTAGCTCTCAAAGATGAAGATAGCCTTAATTGCTATAAATTAGAGCAATATTCTTTGGGACTATTGGCTCCACTCTCAAAGAAACAATATCGGGAAAGAGCTCAACGGGTATATAGAATAGTCGAAGATTACTATTCAAGGCCCATGTTAGATTACCTAAGGGCATTGTCTCACAATATTAATTTAAATGTTTAAATTATATTTTTAAATTATATAATTAAATTTATATTTATATACAATGTATATATGCATTTGTTATGAATAAAAATTATATATTTTGGATTATGGAACTATTTTGAATTAATTTTATTTGATAGAAAAAATTTGAAAAAAGAATTTATGCAATAAAATGTTAAGTTATTAAGATTATTACTAACTTAGTAATTATTTATTTTTGTGACTAACTTAATTTTTCCAACTTATCTTATTGCTTTCCAAGTGATGGTGTAGGACATTGCTTTTTTGGAAATTTTTCTTAAGCCTACTTTGATGTTTTCCTTTTCTAAATGTATTTGATATTTCGCATCAAATATATATAATAAAATATTCTACATTGTAATTAAAAAAAATCTCAAAGCCTCTTATTGAGTAGATTTTCCAGATTAAATATCCTTAGCCTCTTATTGAGTAGATTTTCCAGATTAAATATCCTTAGCCTCTTATTGAGTAGATTTTCCAAATAAATATCCTTAAATATATATTTAATAGATTATATTAGATTAAATCTGGTTTAATAAGTGCCAAAAAAAAGAATTAGACGGTAAATGGTCATATTTGAGAAAATTTATTTCTAAAATAATTCATTTTCTATAAAATCATTCTCTGTAAAATTCTTCAATATAAAATTATTAATCCTTCCCTATAAAATAATTCGCACTAAAACAATTCTCTGTAAAACAATTCTCTGTAAAACAATTCTCTATAAAATCATTCTCTATAAAAGAGATTCTCTATAAAATCATTCTCTGTAAATGAGATTCTCTATAAACGACATTCTCTATAATTGTTTTCTCTTTAAAAGTTTCTCTATAAAATAAATTCTCTATAAAATCATTCTCTATAAACGAGATTCTCTACAAAATCATTCTCTATAAACGAGATTCTCTACAAAATCATTCTCTATAAATGAAATTCTCTATAAACGACATTCTCCATAATTGTTTTCTCTTTAAAAGTTTCTCTACAAAATAAATTCTCTATAAAATCATTCTCTATAAACGATATTCTTTATAAACGACATTCTCTACAATTGTTTTCTCAATAAAGGTTTCTCTGTAAAGACGGGATACCATTAATCTTAATTAATATTATTATATTATCATTTTATATCAGCTCGATTGGTATCCGTCAGACGTCCAGGTTTAGGTTGCCCCGTCCCGCATCTGATCCGGGTAAAAAACGGACTGAATATCTCGTAAAATAATTAAAATCCCGCAAAGCTGTCAAAAATTATAAAGTGCTTGTTTCTAGGGTTGATCCATAAAAAATCAATTTGATTAAAGATGCGATTTAAAATTCATATTTTTAATATATAGGAGCAAACACTTAGATTTTCCAACTTCAATATCTCATTTTCTTACAAAATACAAAAAGATTGTTAAATTTAGTCTAATATATTGTGAATAAAATATAAAATTCAAACTAATGTTTCTACCAGAGTCTGAAATTATCTTCAAAATAAATAATCTTCATATATTTAAATTTCTAAAAAAATTTTGATAATTCCCAAAGTTTATGATCAAATTTTAACTTAAATTCCAAATTTTTTGTAAAAATATTAAGTAAATTTTTTGTTTTTATGCATGTGATTTCATCACTTCCGAAGGAGTTGAAGCGTGCATAACGTATTTTCACTAATATATAGATTTAAAATATGTGAAGTCTAACCGTTTTATAGAAGGTGGTACCTCTATATATGCATGATAGCAGAGGGTAGGAGGAATGAGTATATATAATGATCATTTATTAGCTCCATTCGCAGCAGAAGGTATTTGTGTAAAATATAATATTTTACTATTTATATTCTAAATAAAATGTCAGTAATAATCACTCAAGTGGGTTTACGAGAAATCTGCAGAGGGGAGTCAAAAATTTATGCCCTGCCCGGTATTTAAATTTTAAGACCAGCCCGAATTTTTATTTTTGTTCTCTTTTCAGCCTAGCAAGGAATTTTTAAAATTAGGAAATTTTGCTAAGATAGGTGAGAGATTGGTAATTAGGGTATACAAATTTTTTATTTCTTAAATTTGCTTAATCTCGTTTGATATTGAATTGATAATTATTTTACGAATTTCAATATTGAAAATTATTCCCTGCCGTTGGTGGGTAGGAGGTAAGGTTAAAAATAAGACTACTAATATTTGAAACATTAGATAATATAATATCATTTTTTTTAATGCCAAATCATAGGTTCGAAGTTTCGATAGATAATATCTCGAAATGAAGTTCATAACTAGTTGAAAAATTTATGTAATTTTAAGGATTTAAAAGGTCGAACGTTTTTATGATAAATTTTAAATGTATTCCAGTTGTGTAGAAATTTTATCAATAAATGCTATATAAGCAAACGTTTTTAAAATGTTCATAATTTTCTAGCCTTTTGTCCTAATAAAATTCAGCCAAAATCTTTTTTAATTTTTTCGGTCCTTTTTTTAAATAAAATCTTATCTATACATAATGTAGTAAAACGGCTCGATTTAACCGATAAATTAAGATTTTAGCTAAGCAAGCCTCGAGATTTCGTTAATAAATGTCCAAACCTTTCTACCATCTATGAGCAACAGCTCCTGAAAAAAATAGTGGGTTAGCTAGTAAAAATCGAGCTGTCAACAACACTATATAACAAACCCACTACTTTAGCTATTTCGTCATTTTAAACTAAAAAAAGCAATTTCTCATTATGTAGTTTTTTAAATTGACTTATTTTACAACTATTTCTTAGGTAGAGTGTAAATATGTTTTAAAACGATGTTGTGATTTTTTAATAGTTAATTTTGAACAATCAAAATAAAAAAAAATATATATAATCTTTCAATGATGTTGCTACAATCTGGTCCTTCTCCTTTCAAAATTGTTAATTATAATAGAGATCTCTAAATATTAATAATAATGGTGCCGTATCATTAAACAATAGTGAATTGTTGTAAGACCATTTTGACTTGTGCATAATAGTTCTATATTGTTTTAAAATTGTTAGATTTCTTAAGGTTTAAACTCTTTATTTATCCAGATGGTTTATTGCTGGACAACAAAGGTATAAAACTTTTTGGAATATAATTTCGGATCTTATCAATTATCGTGATGGTATCATTTAAGACAAGATTAAACTTTTGAGCTGCATGCAGAATGTATAAAATTGGTGAGTCCCCCCCCCCCTAATATCCGACTTGTATATGTATTTCCATTATATCTCGACCGATTTTTCGATCTGATATCATATCTGATTATTCTGTAAAAATACTAGTTTTTATGCATATCTACTCGTTTCATATACCTTTTAATAATATAATATCTATAATCTAATTACACCATAACATAAGTCATTTTAAATATATAATAATGATCAGTTATCTAATATATATAATCTCCATAATCAAAACATGATCGTTTTCATATCACCCTAATGTATTTAAAATTTAAGACTATATAGTGTAATGTTAATTTTTTGGTTTCAAAGGCGTATGCTTTATGCATGCACCAACTTGAATATAATTAAATTTAAAATATTAATTATATATATATTAATAGTTGACATTTTTAAAATTTTGCCGTTTATTACCATAATTTTTAAAAATTATTACCATATTGAATTGAATTATTACAATATGAATTTAGATGAAAAATTTTGCCATTTATAGTTTTAGCTAGCTGAAAGATTTTCTCAATGCTATTTGTTCATTCTGGTCAATGATTACTTTTCCGTTTCCAACTAAAGAGGAGTTTTTTTCTAAAACTGCAAGGTATTCAGTAATATTTTAATTTTTTATAGGGGTCACAAATCCTATTTTCTCTCATATATTTATGGGTATCTAAGACTTTGCTATGTAAATCTGTCTATCACTCCACAGTCTCTGTATGTTTTTCCATAAGTCATTATTCGAGCCATTCTTAAGAATCTGCATTCTTAGTTGATTTATTTTTTCTAATGTCTCTCTAGACATCCATTCTTTCCTTGAAAAAAGACTTACATTTGGCAAACCATCATATGATTCTACAAGATCATTTTTAAATAGTTTCCAACATTCTTCTATGTTTCCGCACATAGTTATGTTTAGGAAGTTAGCTCTTTTCCTATTTAATGCTTGATCAAAAATTATTACATCTCCCTGCATTTGTAATTTACTTAGTTTATGGGTAAAGTTTGTTTTCAAATGAATTGTACAAGGTCCAGTCAAGTTTTGTCTAATCCAATAGGTTTATATTAGTTTCCCACTGGTGAATAATAGAGATGAAGAAATCAATTTGGAATTTCTGCCAAGCCCTCACGAAGGTGTATGTGTTTATTTCTCGGTGGCAAAAAAAGGTTTATTCGATTTTAAAGCTCTTGTTCTGCAGAAATCAAGAAGTGTCTTGCCATCCTCGTTATTTGGTTGTTGTATGGTAGCATACAAGGTGACATTACTGCTAACATATTCTGCTTCTTTACCAATTTTCAGGTTTAGATAGCCTAGAATTATTATATTATATTGCACAGTAGGGAGTTGATCGTATTAAACATTATGTTGATAAAGCCTAATCTTTCATTTTTATTTGGTGTGGCATATAAATTTGCTATTATTTTTGACCCTAAATTTGTGTTTAAATAGAGAAGACCACATCTTTCAGAAATGGGTACAATTTGATGATTAATTTATGTTTTAGAAGTGCTACCCAAGGAAAATATTTTATAATCATTAAAGTTTGCAGTGTTATTCCCTGGACAGTGGGTTTCTTGAATACCTATGTCTACCTTCACTACTTGTAACCTTAGAGATCTGGTAGTTGTTTTTCATTCCATTTATATTAAGGAACACAATTTGTAACTTGCCCGTAAATTTGTTCTTAAATTTGGTTATACTAACTTGAATCCAAAAAGATCCAGGTGATGTTTGAAGGAATTTTATTTGGTTTAGATTAAAGATTTTAAAAAAAGTTTTAGTAAGACAACTTATCAGTTAAAATAATTGAAATATGAAAACAGCTGATTAAAGAATAAAGGACTTTTTCTTAAAAAAATCAGATTTATATTAAATTTTTCAAATAAATAAAAATAAAAAGTGTTTTTAAAATTGAATGAACATAAAATTTGAACATGTTCATCAAAAAAAAAGGAACACCAAAAATAAAAGGAATGCTGTTCATCATTTTTTTTTAAAACAAATTTCAAATTCTCAAAAAAATGATTTTCAATTTTCTAAATTTACCCAAAAATTGAAAAAAATACATGAATTCTTAATATATACCAAGTTTCAACAAAATTTTAAAATTATGTAAATTGAGCCTAACATTCCAAACCACTCATGCAGAGCTAAAATTTTCATCTATAAATGAGATAAACTAATGTCAGACAAGATGAAGATTGATTATATAATCTATCATTAATTTCAATTGAAAAAAAATTATTAAAAAATTTAGAATCTAATAAAGATTAAATTTAGTAGAAATTTGATATAGAGGGGTTGAATGAAATATATAATATTTAAATTAATAAAACCAATTATTTATAATAATTAAAATATATACTTTGATCTGCAATACGTCAATGGCTTTAGTTTTTTGGGGATCAATATTATAATTTTCCAAGAATGTAGAATTTAAGCTTATTGATAATTCATTATGTATCTTATTATTAAAAGTAAATATAGGATTACAATGAATTTTCCAACCTTGAAATGATATAAGTATGCTAATACCCCAGATAGAGATTGACATATAAATATGACCAGCAAAAGAAAAATATACTAAGGCTGAATTATAATAAACACAAAAATTTGTAATTGTACTAGTTTCATAAGACTTCTATCTTCTTTCCAAATAGCCACACAGCCAATGGTGCCTACAAATATAACTGTAACCCCTACTCCAATCATCAAACTTGTTGATATAATAAATTGATTAGTGTTCAGCAATGTTAAATAGGCATGTTTGGACAACAAGACCCATAAAGAAAGACCCAACAGACATAGGCTTATCAACTAAATATATAATTACTATATATTTAATATATTTAATTACCCAAAAAAAGAAATTATATGTGAACATAATATATTTCAATAGATTAACACTACAACACCCTTCGTCTTTGCTCCTTTTAAAAGCCATTAAAAAATATCGAAATAATTGCACCAAAATATATGATGGATAAATAACGTTTTATTTGTCAATAACGAAATCTAAAATATGGGTTGAATTCTAGAATATTGTTATTGTATGTATTGGAAAATTAATTTTTGGAAGATTTGGAAGTATAAATGGTAATACGGTAGTATTGTATAGAACAAAAAAATAATACTATATCATACTGACCAGGCAAATTTTTTTTTTTATTTAATCATCTTTATTTCAGATTCTATGAACCTTAAATCTCAATATTGTTAGCAATCATAAAGACTTACACTAAAGAATTTAAACTTAAAATCAGCCACCACCCACCTTTAAAGTAATTGACTTATACTGCAGTTCTTGGGCATAGGCTCTTTTTCTGCCCCGCTCTTTTTATTAAAGCCTATGGACGTCTGTAGCATTTTTCGAAATGTTGCGCGTACAAGTATTTGCGGCTTGCCCGCAAACGTGTAGATGGCTCCTCATATTTTTTTAACTTTACACCCTAATCAACTTATGCTCCAATTAGATAGAAATTAGGAAAACCTAGCGTAGCTCTATTGTTTATTCAACGTCAGTGGGCATATGTGCTATATATCACGGATCACGGAAAATATTGGTTATTTATTATGAATATTTCAATGACATATATAATTGGAATATTTATAGTTAGTTAACATATATAAAAATATTCTAAACAACAGCAATTTGTTATATGACAAATTATTTTATAAATGCAACAAAATAAAACACATTTTTTATATAATTTTTAAGAAATGCAAAAGCCTTCATTTATAGAAAACGCGTTATGTTCCGTCGCTTTATTTAACGCAATCCAAATCACAGGTGATATATCAGTGTCATAGCGTTAATAATTTTTGAAATATATGTCGAAACATGTTTTTGAAATTTCATCATAGCGTTAGTGTTGAGATGACCTGATTAATTATTTTATATATTTCTTTTTTGTTATTAGTTTAATACTAACCTTGCGGACTCATTTTGTAAAATAAACTCAATAGTTTGATTTAAATTGATTTTTCGTTTATATAAATTATTAAATTGATTTTTCGTTTATGTAAATTATTAAATTAATTTTTCGTTTATGTAAATTATTAAATCACTAAAATAAATTATCGATAAAACTTTTTCTGAGATGTGGAAAAGTTCATCAACCACATTCCATCGCAGCAGCTTTTTTACTTATTAAAAAAGTGTTTATATCTTCCCAAAATCTCACATCTCTTCCACTCATCCTCCTCATTCGCCTCCTCAAAATTTTTCATTCAACACAATATTCGCTTAAAGACCTTTATAGAAAGGATCGTCAACCTTTCATCATCAAACTTTAATTGGCACCTTGCCCAATTACCCGCTAAACTAGGTGGTATCGACTTGATCTCCTGGAACTACTTTCCCTTTCTCTATTTATATCAAATCGCCTATCGCTCAATTCTGCGATCTCATCATTGATAACTCCCCATGATGATCTTCTTTCAGCAGTAATGGAAATATGGAATCTCCTAACCCCAGACGGTTATACAATTCCTACCGAAATCTCTAACAAATCTATCATCGAACCCCTCATAAAAAAATTACAAAATAGTCTTAACCCTACCGAAATCAGCGATATACAACTATTAAAAAACAACGATAAATACAACGGGCATGAATGGCTCGAAGCACTTCCAAGCCAAGCCTTAGATAATCTCTTAACCAATGACCAACTGAGAATTACTATAGGCTTTAGACTTGGAGGCTCGCTTACATATTCACACTCTTGCCACCAATGCAACCTACCCGTTCAACCTAACGCCAGACAGGGTCTAAACTGCACCCGCAGCCAAGGTCGCCATCTCCGGCATAAAGCAATTAATGAAATCATCATAACGCTTTTAATAAGGGTAAAATACCCAACATTCTTTTATCTACTAACCTCTCATTACAGTACGGCTTCAAACAAGGCTTAACCTGCACCCCCAGGTCCGATGGGAAATCTCTGCTTATCATTCTTTCCTTCATAAATTAATACAAACCCTCTCACTTGTGGGGAAAATAAAAAAATTAATAAATATTATTTTTAGCATAACAAACGAAAATCGCAAATCCTTATTTCTAAAACAAAAACTTCAAATGGAAATTTTTAAACACAATTATACTTGTTTTTTAGGTACATTTTTATTATTAAATTAAGCTCTTTTTAAAGCCTTAGATACTATTAATATATATTTGTATTTAGTAATTTTATATATTTTTACATATTTTCATATAATTATTAACATGATTTTTCGGTTATATAAATTGATTTTTACAAGCTATATAAGCATGAAAATATATTACATTTTTAGTAAAAAATACTAATTTTTAAATAAAATAAAATTTTAAAATTTCTTATATGATTGTAATTTGAATTGATGAATAAAATCTCCAAAATTTGTTATACCTATTACCAGTAAACATTATGGACAATTGCATATTAACATTAGGAAACTTCAGTTAGCATCATAACATAACGTTCCATATTTATTTTTTATACTTATTTATTAGCTTGATTTTATAAATAATCCTGCGTTATAACTAAGCGCTTGAATATCACTTTTATAAAAAATATTTTTAGGCTTGGATTAGGTTTGTATCATATTTTTATTTCTGCACAGATTTTTCAAATTTTATTTTATTTTATTTACTGCCAGATCTCTTTCGGGCTTGCAAGTCTTTGAAAAATAGATTGAAAATTAGAAAGGAGTAAATGATATATAAAAAGATAATCGATAAGTGAACGTAATCAATTACTTATGTTTCTTTAAATAAACATACTCTAATGACTCATTAGCATCTAAAATTTAAATATTATATTATAAACAATTTTTTATAGAATGTGATAAAAAAAAATTTTTTTATAGAAATTTTAGATTATTTTAAGATGAAATATATAAAAATTATATTATTGATTACCAGTATCTTTTTCAACATGACTTACGAGATTCATTCTATTTATAATATTGGTACATTTTACTATAAAAAAAAATCAGATATTAATATTTATACCAATAGCAATAGATAGAGACGACTCTTACAACTTGGTTAAAGATAGGCCGATAAGGTATATTAATATATTTTATCCAATTTTTAAATTTGATATCTAAGTAAGGAAGACCAGGGCTAGCATACAGGTGGGATAGAAAGGTAAACAGCTATGTCTTTTTTATCTTTTTAACTAGTTTCAAAATTGGTTAAAAAATATATTTCAATACATACTATCATATGTCATTGACGGGAGCTCCTTATTTAAAAAATATTGGCCAAAAATAATTTTTTAGCCCTTTTTCAACAATTTTTCTTAAGTATTTTTTGCCTTCAGGAAATATTACTTCTTCAAATTTTATGAAATTTTTATGTTATATTGCCTAATTCTAGGCTACCAATTAATCTTAGTTCGAAACTTCAAGCGCATTTAGAAAAATTTCTATAGCTATTTAAGTTGGCTCACCACCCCTGGGACTAAATGTCAAGGAAATGGAAATTAAATGAGTATTAAATTGCATTAAGAAAAATTATTAAAATCTAAAAAGGATAAAAATAAATAAAATACATTTAAAAAAATTGAAATTGTTTAATGCGCGGCAAAGGTCCCAACTATATTAAAAAAACTCGAAGACTGGATAAAGTGTACCAAATTTTCCGAATGGTCACATTCAAGTTGTACTAGGAATGATTCATTTTATTTGGGCCCATATTGTGAAGATAAATTTTTTTAAAATATTTATCATTTGTAAATAATATCCGCTCATTATAAAATAAAAATTTAAAAAAATTGTGCTATATGTGTTGAATTGTCATCTTACACCAAGGGTTTTACTATTTTTCTTATGGCATCGGTAAAAAAAAAGCTCTGCTTATACTTAACCCTAAATAGCGCCGACAGTATTAAAATTAAAAGCACCAGTGTTTTTTATTTTGTATTCTAATAATGTGATCCTCTAAAATAATTAAAATTTCAATCATAAAAAATAAAAGCACCTGCCGTATAACCCGGTCTCTAACAATATTGAAGATTTAAGCAAGAATAAATCAGAGAAAGGTCGATAAGCCATATCTAGATTTAGAAATTTTTTGATCCTTCTACTCGGAATTTTTTAAATTACGTCTTTTGGAATATTTTTGCTATATTTTGTAAATTGTTTAAAAGGATTGAAAATGACAAATTATATAATAAATATACCTATGAATTTCTCATTTCAAAACTCAAAGGGTCTTATAAAATAAACCAACCTGTCAAAGAATATTTAAGCATAAAATAACTTAATTTTTATTATCAGTTATAAGGAATTTATAAAAATTCTAAAAATTACCACACTAGTACCAAAAATACGAGAAGGCAGTAGGTAAGTTTGTTTTTTACCTTTTAAAACGATTTTATATTAATATATATTCTGTGTAGCACTAAATTTAGACGATATCTCTAAAATAATTTGTCTCTATTTAAATAATTAAAATTGTTTTTTTAATCTTTTTTTCGGATGTATTTTAGGAAATTTTTTAAATTAACGACCATTATTTATAAAAATTGTCCCATGGTGATTCTCCCCCACTTAAAATAGTTATTTTACAATCCCAAGTCGGATTTAGAGAAGCCAAGATAAACCCCAACCCGAGCACGAGTTTACAAAAATTGATACAAACTTGAGCACAAGTTGAAAAAAAAATCCAATGAACAGATACGATGAGTACTCAATGAGGGAACCCGTTAGAGGCAGACCCGTTGAACAAAAACTGATAAGTAGACCATGAGAAAAACCTTATGACAGAACGCATTGAGAAATCCTAATGAACAGATCCATTGAGCAAACCCAATAAGCAGGCCGTTGAAACAAACAACCCAAATGGCTGACCTAGAGCTCTGGCCTGATTTAATTGAAAAGTAGTTTTGTTAAATAGCCGAGATAGTCAAGTTTATAATAATCCAGACTCCAGTTGAAGTCGTAAAAACGGTTTAACTTTGAGCTTAATGAATCAAACGGCGAATAAAAATTCTAA